CCTAACTCTATGCATTTCCGGTAAATAAACTTTCATCTCCCCCATCATGCTAATAGAAAGCTTCCCAGTTCTTACTGATTACAACACATACATGCAACAGGTATGGCCTATTAAAAATGTACAGTACTCCCTTCCTGTTCAAAGGAACAACCTATTCTACTCCAAAATCATCAGTCACATATCGAATCAGCTATAGAAGCTAAACTTACAAATGATTTGCAGCGTGGTGATGCTTACAAAAGCCCTGGTTCTTCACTCACTGGCAACGGTAGGACTTGTCACAATGCCACCTATGCAGACATCAATGTGATGTCTTATCTGCTTCTTAGCAAAGTACATGAAATACAAACTAGGGACACCTGCCAGCAGAGGACTGGTCTGGACCATTAGTCAAAGGAGATGGGCAATTTGATGGAATGGTTGACATCACAGTAAAATCTACCCACAGCATTTTCTTTCCCCCCATACATGAACATTTTCCTGGGAAAGTCCTGGCCCTCTTTTAGGAGGGGGAGAAGACCTGCTACACCACAAGCAATGCATCAGCCGCACCGGCAGCGGATGGCGGAAAAGAAAGTGCTCTCCATGGGAGATGAATTCCCATGTTTTGACACCTTGATTTAAGTTAACAAGAAATGTTGAACTTTACAACATTTCCAAAGAGATTTCACATGAGCTGTTGATATTCAGATCACCTACCTGAAAATAGTTCAGGTTGGTTGTGACTAAAAATTAAGCTTGGGTGGCTGTTTAGTGGATTACATGACTAGAACAGACCAGTCTTAGTTTGTTTCCTGCATTCACAACACAAAAGCCACCATAAATGGCACTAACTAGCAATTAGGTTGGCACTCCGAGACAAGAGACCAGGGCTTGGATGTAGACTATCATGCCTTCAGGGTGGGGGCAGAAGCTTGCAGTGCTGCCTCAGACAATGTGCTTGATGTATGGATAACTGTACGGGTTCCTGAGCTTCACTCTGCAGCCTTTAAAGATTAAAACTATGCGGTGTGAAGAAAGGCAAGAAGGACTAGATTCCAGACAACCACTAAACCCAATTCCTCTATTCCATGCAAGACTCAGTTTACAGATGCTTATTATCTTTAGACTTCAAGCTGCTGGCCCCTTACAAAATGTGATGCAGCACTGAAAATATGCCCAGCATATGAAATGCCCAGTGAAAGAAAATGTTGCATCATCCCTTTACATTTAAGGGCCCCCACACCACATGGAAAAGTCAATCCCAGCTGAATATTTATCTACTTTTGCTACCTAGAACACAGGTTAAAGTACCATTCTCTCTACTCTTCCAGTGGATTTACCTAATGATTTTCAGAGCATCGTGGGCAGAGTGCATTTCCTGGGATGAAATGTGTGATTTTCCTACAATAACAGTGAAGAGAAAAATCACTGTAAGAACTAAATAGGAAACCAACTGTAAAACTACAAGCATCAGGCGTGGAGTCCAACCTAGTGAACAATTTTACCCAGCCTGGATTTCAAGTGGACAATCCTTTCTAAAGGTGAAAAATGCAAGGACTAAGTTGCATTCTGCTTAATACAACATCCTCAACTTAAAGCTACCTCAACTCATTGCAATACTGCTGCAAAGCAAATAATTCTTCACAGAGGTATTTTGAGATGTCAGGTTTCCCCAAAGTACCAGGCTGTTCATCTGTGTCCAGAATGTCTCCAGGGAGGGAAACACAGGCACTGCATTTTTTAACAAAATGATGTTCAAGTTTCTGTATTTAGTTCCTATCCTGGACTGTAGAGTATTCACTTGACTCCAGTCTGTTGCTTGGGGTGCACCATACACAGGTTAAATCTGCAGACAATGGAAAATGATTTCTCCTCAAGGCAAAGCAAAGAGATTGAAAACTTACTTATGTTGTTATTTAGATACCTCTGTTTTGCACTGCAGTTCTGTCCTGCTTCACGCTGATTGAAACTTTAACATTTATTTTATTCTCTGTGCATTTAGTTTTGAATCTTTTTTTAAAGCAGTCTAACACTGTCAGCCACTGGAATAAGTACGTTCCAAACTTCCAAAAAACTATTAATTTCTACTTGGCCAGGAGCTGGTCATAGCCAGGTAAGGTAGCCTTAAAAAGGCGAATCAGCAGCCTTATCTGGTTCCCAAATATTTCATTTAATTGGAACATGTAAATGATGGTAGGAAATCTCAAAGCTGCCTTTTAAAATACCTGAAAATATTTCACACTCTTCTCTGTTAGGAACTGGATGGCTGCATAATCCCTGGAGACCTGCCATTTTAATAACCACAACAGGGAACACAGCTTGATGCCAGCTACCAGGAGAAGGTCAGAGCTACAGCCAAGCAATACACTGCAGAGGCTTTTACAGCTCCTGGTAGGTGCTCTTCTGCTACCATTTTACAGCCGGCTTTGGCAAGAAATGAAAGAATTACACGGCTGTAAACAGAAACAACATAGAAAGATGCAAGAACCTACCTAGAAACCTCCCACAGCTCCGTGTGGCTCTAGTTCCAGCTCTGATCTTTCTGTTCTGACAGATGCATTCAAGCTGATAGACAAGGAAGGAAGCAGGAAGCAGCTGCATTGCCTTCATGTTTTTATATACTAGATTTTACAGGAGGAAGGTTTTCCAAGGCACAAATGACCGGCCCTCAAGGACATTTTGTTTCCAGCCCTGCCTTAGAACATCCTCCTTTTAATTCCCTTTTTTTTTTCTTTTTTTTTTTGCACACAAGAGATCAGGTAATTTCCTTACTTTCTCTGACATCTTTCCTTATACTTGGCAGAAGATCACCTAATGAAATAAGCAAGCCTTAGGAAACTGACTATTGTAAAAAAAAAAAAAAAAAAAAGCAGACTTCGTTATTTTAAGAAAAAAAAACCCCCCATAGTAACCAAGACTTGATAACAGAACAGCCACAAGAGAAGCGTGGAGCTCTCATCAGTAAGAGCTTACAAAGAAAAAATAGTTAATATTCTTTAAACAAGAATGAAGAGAAGAATGAAGATTTTATTTCTTCAGATGTGGGTGCATTAGACAATCCCTCCTACTCTAGTCTCTAAGCTGTTTGCAGCAGTGTATTCTGCAAAAGGCCAGAGGTTCAGGGCCGACTCCAGCACCCGAGTACAGAAATTAAAGACCAGAATAACACACTCTTATTAAAGGCGGTGATTTGTATCAAGTAGGTGACACCTCCTGTTAGGGATGGCAGTTTAGAGTAGGAACGTTATCTGCACCAGGTGCTTTCCTTTATGATTTCCTACTGTTGCTCCTACTACTGTAGAGCAATCTCCACTGGTAGAAGCAACAGAAATCTTAGTGGGAAAAGTCTATTGAGTAACCAAGTCCTTTGTCATGGAAGAGATGACACCCACAGCTGGAATTTAAGTACTGTTAGCAAGAAAGAAATACCTGATACTAAAAGGAAAAGAAAAACTATATATAAAATGGTCTATAAGGAGTGTAATGACAGATCCTAAGGTCTAGTATTTTCCATACATCAGCATTATGCCAAAACATCTAGTTCTGGCCTGCATGGTGAAGTTACTAAGCCAGCATCCTTCAGGCGACTAGAGAAAACTTAGCCCATAAGGTGCACACAAATCAGAAAGGCAACTCTCCGGCCTACTACCTGCTATCAAATTCTGTATTTTGCTTTGATTGCAAAAAGCAGGTATAACACTGTGCAGCAAAGCAGACAGAAGCTAACCACAATTTACACTGAACATCTTCCACATGCCAGTCAATACATTTAATCAGCCAGAAGACTGTGCTATTAACATATCGGCTGCTGTGTCTTCAGCAATACACCACCAAATCCTCCTTTACTAGGCTAGTCTTCGAGCATAGCAGCTGGAGCTAAACAGTCAATGCAAACTTCCAATTTACCTGCCTGCAGATTAATGTTTATGGAACTGAAAAGAAGATTAAAAACCATTAGCAAATGCTGATCCCGGCAAGAGAGAAGAGGAGAATGTACTCTACCAGTTATGCAAGCTAACTCCCACATACCAGGCCTAGAAAGTAATGCAAAATCGCTACACTACATAAAATTCCCCTTAAAATATTAGGTCCTTGCTCCAAAGATTGTGCTTTAAGGCCATTAAACCTGGAGAACTTTGTCCAGGTCACACGTTTCTAAACAAAAGCATAAGAGAGTCTTGGCATAGTCTGTAAACATGATTCTGACAACATGAGTAGGTATTCTACATACCAGTATCACCGTGTAGGTATATGCCTGTTATTAAATATATACATCGCATGCATGTGCGCACTATGATTTTAATACCTGATTTAGCAAACCTGCCTTTCATGGAGTCAAATCTACTCCACTGGCCTACTGGCTTATAATTACTCACCTAGGTAAATACCACTCGCTGCAGGTAAAGGTTGAAGAATCAGGCTCAAGTAACCAGCTCTCCAAGAAATATTCGGGTTTTGAGTCCTACAGTGCCTGATGTTTGTGGCAATGCATTGACACGTACACTTCTCACTACTCTAGTTAAAAAAATATATATATATAAAATCAGAGGCTGGCCCAAGAAAGCCTGGCCTGAAGCACTCTCTGTACAACTGCCCGCTCAGTCAATAACTTATAAAACAAACTCATAAAGCCTTGACACATCTGCACGGCAGGTATGGGACGATCATTCTAGAATGTGAGGATTCAATCCAATAATACTTCATGATGATTTTTTATCCTGAAGATCCATATGCTTTCTAATATTCAATGCTGAAGTCCATGCAAAGAGGAGACAGGAGCTCCTGAGAAGGAAGCTGAAATTTAAAGACAAAATAATCTGTAACTCTAAGCACTTTTCTGTCAGAGCAATTCTACTTTATTCTTTACATTGGGTTGAACACTATTTTACTTCATGCACATGGAGAGGAAACCCACTGCTTTTCTCACTAGCTCATTCCAGAAAGCCAGATTGGAAGTAAGATGATAGAGAGATCTCCTTAATATAGGGCTGGACCATGCATCTCCTGCCCACATCACCTGCTGCTGTTGCACCCAGGTCTGCAGGTGAAAGAAAGCCAGTTGAGAGAGTGATTACTTCCCAGAGTACTCTAAATTATTCTTAGTCCTAACTGCATGGAAAAAATATGCACATGCCACAGCTCTTTCCAGCTTTCTCCTGCTGTTCAGCCCCTTCTCAGATTCACAAAACAGATCTTTGTTCTTTCAGAAAGCTGGGAAGAGACGTGGGTATGTGACAGAAACATGTTGCATGCCATGTTCCACCAGGCAACTGACAAGCCTTGGATCCCTTCCCAAAGCTGCATGCCTTTAAGCTCTCTTTGGTACTGTGTAACCCAATGGAAACATCAGCCCTATATGACTGGTTAATCTGAACATCTGCAGTTACTTGGGTTACATGGTTTTCAGATCTCTGAAAACTGAGGAAGAATGTTGTACTTTTCAACCTGTGCACCAAACTCAGAGTTCACCACCATCTAGTACTTCCTTGGAAGATTATTTAGGAAAGTAAGAAACCCCTGCGAAATCCCAAACCACGAATCCCCATCCTCCACTTCTTCTGTGCCCAACTTCTTCTGTTTAAGGCTTAAGAGAGACACTCTTAGCATCCTTACAAGGCATTATCACCCTACCTCACAAAAAAGAAGCTGGCTGGCCACCTCATAGAATGAGTATATCCAACTTAGTTCAGGTTAGATCCCTTCTTCCCCTAACTTTGAGTAACCTGATAATAAAATGCTGACCTGTCCAAGCGAGCTTTGTGCCACTGCCTTTGCAAACTGCTAGGTCTCCATTTCTACGGCAAGAGATGAAGCTTCATTGGATCCTACAGAATACAAAACAAAATGGTTAGAGATGAATAGTACTGCTGTTTTCTGACTGCAGGGAGAACAGCTTCTGCTGAGGGCTAGTGTGTTTTTAAGCATTGGTTCAAAGAGAAACTGGACATGCGTCCTCATCAGGGTGACCCAGGTGAGACCCAAGCAGAGAGTTTTATTGATCAGTGCTTGCTGATGTACTCTCCACACCACAAGCTTTAAGAGCCATGATGACAATTAAAATTCTTCCAGTTTTAATGGAATGTTTCAGGTCTGACTTCCTGCGACTGCACTAAACATAATCCAAACGCTCAGTTATTACAGCACTTAGGCGTTGGCGCATTGATAGAAAGGAAAGGGATGGTTAGAAAATGAGACTGCAAAACAGTATCAGCTGCATCTGAAGTGCATCCTCCCTCCTGTCAAATCAAGATGAGTTGGCTGAGGCAGCAAGCTTAATGCAGGAGGCGATCATGTGCACGATGCTCTCAGAATATATTTTCTTGATACAGTGGAAATAAAAGTTCATTAAAATAAGCATCACAGCCCCATAACATTTTATTCCTGGAGCA